GCGAGAGGAATCCAAGATGGCGGACGTAAAGTCCGCAAATCTTTTTAAAAGAGTAAATACGATCGAATTAAGACACGGATGTCACTTTTAATGCAATTTGAGGCGAGATGTAGATGGTTCTATGTTGATATATGTGTGTTTTAAGAGTCAAATGTTCCTGTAAAGTTTGGTTGAAGCACTGGTTCAGTGTTCCTGTTTACACACTCTGCAGCAGGGTTGCCAGGTTCGGTGGTTCCCGCATATTTTTTTCCAAGAGACTTGTAGGTATTAAATAAACAGAAAGACAATAAACAGAATCATGATAGCCCAAGTTCATTACATTAAGATTTTAGCCAAGTGTTTTTTTGTGTGGGTATTCTCGCAAATTTTGGGTTGGAAAATCTTGCTGGGATTTGGCAACCTATGGGAGCCTTGTGCTTCGATGTGAGTGGTTGAAAGCAGACTTTATTCAAGATAACGGACAAGTGGTCTATCCAATCACATACAAGGATTTTTTTTACAAGGCCCTGCCTTCTGAAATCCAACCACTATGGCTCAGTACCAGACTCATGTGTGAAGTGCAGCGAACTACATGGGTCTGGCGAGAGTCAGGCTATATTTGTCATCCACCTTACTATGTAATAAATGAATACTGTTATTTGTTATAAATGAATTCTTTTGTTACTACTACTATGATGAAATGAAATGCTTTTGACCATTAAAATATCATTGGGTGTTAAATGTGAATCATTTCTAACCTATGTTGCACTAAATCTCATTTCCGAAACATTGAATTTCATTTCCGAAACACTATTCTCATTACCGTAACGTGTTCATTTGCAAATAATTTAATAATTTTTTTTTTTGTTTTTTTTTAGCAATTGTGTTGACACAATTTGTAGTACTACTTTTTATATCCCAATCACAAAAAAATATATATGTCAGTTTTCAAACGAATATCCTAAAAAAAACTGTAAATCATTAAGTGTGTTGCGGTAATGAGACAAATAATAAATATTTTCAAATTTAGAAATATAACGAAGTAATCTTTCCTGACTGATACATTCCTCTTGGCATAAGTGTTAATGAGCTACTTTTAAAATTTCCCAATTGTTTTTATTTTAACAATAAATCTGATGTGATTTCATGTTGCGGTAATGAGATTTTTTTGGCACTCAATATCTAAAATACCTGTAATTCAACTAAAAAAAATCAAAAACTATGTTGAAAAATAATGTGTTTAGTAAGTTCAGACATTCATCTAAAGTGCTTAAAAGAAAATTAGTCTTCAAATGCCTTTTGAAAATTTTGAAGTTGGAATTGTTTTAAATCTGGATTTCGTGAGAATCACCCGACTGATTGTTGTCCTATGGACAGACTCTCCCACCTCAGCTGTAGTTATCTGCAGTTCATCCAGAGTGATCATGGGCCTCTTGGCTGCATCTCTGATCAGTCTTCTCCTTGTTTGAGATGAAAGTTTGGAGGGACGGCCGGGTCTTGGTAGATTTGCAGTGGTCTGATACTCCTTCCATTTCAATATAATTGCTTGCACAGTGCTCCTTGAGATGTTTAAAGCTTGGGAAATCTTTTTGTATCCAAATCCGGCTTTAAACTTCTCCACAACAGTATCTCGGACCTGCCTGGTGTGTTCCTTTGTCGTCATGGTTCTCTCTGCGCTTTAAACAGAACCCTGAGACTATCAAAGAGCAGGTGCATTTATACGGAGACTTGATTACACACAGGTGCATTCTATTTCTCATCATCAGTCATTTAGGACAACATTGGATCATTCAAAGATCCTCACTGAACTTCTGGAGTGAGTTTGCTGCACTGAAAGTAAAGGGGCCGAATAATATTGCCCCACTTTTCAGTTTTTTATTTGTTAAAAAAGTTTAAATTATCTAATAAATTTTGTTCCACTTCACGATTGTGTCCCACTTGTTGTTGATTCATGACAAAAAATTAAATTTTATATCTTTATGTTTGAAGCCTGAAATGTGGCAAAATGTCGAAAGGTTCAAGGGGGCCGAATACTTTCGCAATGCTGTATGCTCACGTCCAGATTGATAAATGCGGAAAAGTGTAAATATTTTGCGTACGCATCATTTGCACCCTGATTTGGCCGTACGCAAGTTTCATACATGAGGCCCATGGTGAGCAGAAATATCCCAGGATCAGGGCGGGCTCTAATCCAGTCTTGTCTGTGGGTGGGGAGTTTGTGGAAGCCTGAGCGCATGTTTCCTGTTCTTAGGCGATACTGTAAAGTCGTGTAAAGTTGTATATAGATGCTTTCAACTTTGGTCACAGCTCAGGTAAATAGCGTTGAGCCATTGACTTACGCAGTTGGGTTGGAGATGTTGGAAAGACGAGTGACATACATGAAGTCTGAGGACCTTGGCCCCTTTCATGAGAACAGTGTTTGGACGCATTTGATTGGACAGAAAACAAAAAGTGAAGAAAAGCAAGACACTTTTTATTTTTTCTGACTTGAACATTAACCCTAACACTCGGCAAGTGCTCGGCAGGGTGTTAGGAAAGATGAGAGCCTCCCTGCTAACCAAGGTCTAGTTTTTTCTCTATGAACCCTTTGTTTGTTTTAATTTTAATTCATTTGTTTACATTGTGTAGGTATTTTGATTGAATGTATTACTTTAATTTTGTACTTATTTTTCTGAAGAAAATACAGGTAAAGTGGCTTGTTGGACTGATAGACCAAGTATTCCTTATGTTTATAGGATTATCTTGAAAAATTATATCCCGGTAAAACATTTTCTGCACTATTAATAACAAAAATGTTTAGTGCAGTTCATGCAAAATGTGCTTAACAGAATAAGAACATACATTAAATCACAAGCAATCACAGTACATTAAAAAGAATGAGCTACTGTTGTATGCACAGTTAAACAGAACTGTTTTTTAAATGGATTGAACATGTCTCTGAGCACTTTTAAGTATATTCTCTGAGCCACAAGAAGCCAGTACATCTGACCGCGGCAGAATCTAATCGCGAAGCGAGCCCTGGCACACTTTAACCGGGCTTTAGGCTGCGGTCATATGCCTTAAAGCCTTAAAGTGATAGTCTGTAACTCTAAATGAATTACAAAAATTTAGGAAATGTGTTAAATTGACCTCCTGGCCTTAAATGTTGATATAAAATAAGTCATTTTAGTCATTCTAATATTACGGGCAAGTCCCGCCTTCCCTGCTCTTAGGTATAGTTCAGAATCCACGGTGCTGTCGAGGTTAACCAATCGAGTCATGCCAAGGGCTGTCAATCATCGGCGCAGATGCTCGTAGCTGTGCGCATGCTCAGTTGTTTGTTTTCGCGGAACCTCCGAATCAAGCCTCTATTAGGCTCTGGAACTACATGAAAACTGAACAAAGAATTCTGAACATCCGCGCTGAGGTACTCATTTATATACTGAACCTATATCCATAATCAGATCCTCTGCAGATGTGTCTTATAATGTGCAATTCAAAATAATAGCACTTCCTGGTTTGCCGCGATCGCTTTTTTTGTGCATAAAAACATAATTTTTTTCATTAAAACATTCACAAATAATTCTGAAAACCTCTGTGCATGTGTATTAATAATATATATGTATAATGTGTTCTCTGATTAACATTTCAAAGTGTTACGGAAACGTAGGTGGAAAGGAAGGGGGAGGAGCTTGCGTCGTTTTTTTCAAATCAAGTACCTCTCTGTCTCTCTTTCTGACAAACTCCAGACAATCACTTTAAGAACAGAACTTATGCTGTAGATTGGAACCAGGAAGTATGATCACATGTTTGGAGAGCACACTCAACAGGCCGTTACAATAGTCTAACCTACTATACACTGTATTTGTGATTCTGGCTATGTTTTTAGATGGTATAAAGCTGTAGATGTTACTGATCATCTTCTCGATATATAAATAAGAAAAATATGAGTTTCTTCAAATTGCAACAATGTTCAGACTAAGTCACGCTTAGTCAAGATTGTTAGTGGTTTATTTCTCCTCTACTTGTCACAATTGCCCTAATGCAGGGCACTCTCTGTCTGTCTCAGTGCTGTTCTCATCTCCGTCAGGACTCGGCAGCGATGATCTACTCCTTTGAGTGGTGCTACGATTGATTTGCCAACCCTGTACAGTCATTTTTGTCCCAAAAAGGGATAAACATCTTCGGATCGCTTCCTTGATGCGACCAGGTTTCATTGTAGTCTAAAGTGGCAGAGGCTGAAGATTAACAGACTGTGTTATATAGTCGACAGAAGCAACTTTTGTCTCCTTTAACTATCCAGAAGAATCCATGTTGTTTCAATTCACTTTAATTTTTGGCCTTGTCCTAAATAACAACAGCAGTCGTCTCAGAGGATTTTACAATGTTGTTGATTCACCAACAACAGAGAAAAGAATCCAACAATTCTGGCTGTCAGATGTCTAGGCTCTCGAAGGCCTAACACCAGAGCCTCGGTCAATGAGGACTGTCTGGTTCCTAAGTCCAGAACATCGTTGGGACAGTCCAGCTTTTCTTTCAATGGAGCAAAACTATGGAACGTTCTTCCCACTGACCTAATACTACAAACACACTTAAACATCTTCGTCAGACGTCTGAAACTGTGGCTGAAATCGTAGCAACTTTGTTCACATGGTTAATGAACTGTATATTGAATAACTTTTATATTTGTTCATTTGAAATGTGTGCGTTTGTGTCCTAAAAGCCTCCTATGGACATGTGTTGAAAATTAGGGTTATCTGGTCTGTCCAATGTAACTTTTGTGTCCATATAAAAAAAATACATTTGAACACAGGAAATGTAGTAATGATAATAGAAGCCATTGGTCCATAGAGAATGGGATGACAAATGTCCATGAATGTCCTTAAATGTCTCGATTGAGGAAAAAATGACCCTCTACCAGAAAAAAAAAACTATTCTACTTTGCGAGTGCTTTGCCCTCTATATAAAATTTGTGATTTTTTTTCATTATTGTGTGATGAATGTGTGATTTCCCCCCCTCATGATTTATTGTCCTTCTTTAGGCTCGGAGGTGATCGTGGGGGTCAATAAGTACCGTCTGCAGAAGGAGGAGACGGTGGAAGTGTTGGCCATCGACAATACCATAGTGCGACAGAAGCAGATTGAGAAACTGAAAAAGGTGAGACGCCGCGAAAGGTCAAAGCACAATAGAGAACTGTCTGACGGGGCGAAAGGATTTGAAAAGGGTCAAGTTGTGAATGATTTAGTACATTTCGTTTTCCAGAGATTGAATAAATGACTGACAGTGATGATTATGGGTCACGTATTGTACAACATTGATTTTTATAACCTTGTTGCTTTCCTTTCTCACCCACAAGCATCATATTGTATACATGGGATTCAAAACATCATCGCTCCAATAATTATGTTTTGCTACTCACTTTTTCTTCTTGTCAATTACTCAAAGTCAGAAAATTAGAGTATCGTTTAAAAAATCCTTTCTTTATGTAATTCAACCTATAATGTAAAATCTATATACGACATTGAGTCATTAAATGTCAAGCCTTTGTTGTTATATTATCCTTAATTATGGCTTACGGTCAATTTTCTGGAGATTCTATATTATTTTTAACATTATATACATTAAAACACATATAGGGTTACTTTGTGTGGAATGAGTCAGTTACAGGGTCAAAGAATAATAACTGTCTGATATAATGGTCATTTCTACCCAAGGTTTTTGCCCAAAAGCCTGAGTGGCCTCTTCCTTCCACACTGAGCGTAGGTTTCCTCCTGGTGCTCCGTTTTCACCTACCACTAAAAACATGTACAATAGCTCAGGGTGAAATGACTGTGTTTGTGAGTGTAACCGTAACCGATAGATCCAAATTCCATCCAGAGAGGTGGGTTCATTAACCTACTGTCCAAACCAAATTATTAATAATAATGAGTCAGAACTATATGCCAACGTTTCCCAGGTGAAAATAACCTTTTGTTTGAAATAAATATATTATGTAATCTCTCATCTTATAAGAAACAGGAAATCATAAACGAGGAATGTGTTTTGGTAAATTGTGTCGAGAAGTAATTCAGTAGTAAAATATAGATGGTAGTTTATGTAACTGCTTTAGTGGTTGCTTTTTGCGCTGGTAATACTATCATAATTATCCTGTATATTAGGAACTCTAGTGGGCTAATGACTATTATTGCATCAAGCAGTCTCACATGAGCTGGATAATGGAGTATTCAAACACACAGTCATTATTCCATGTGAAAAGCCCAGCTGAACTGTAAAGGATTGTCCTGACACTTTATCGTAATTGGTAACATGTTCTGGCATTTTCCGAAGGTCACTGAGCGCACTTATATTTCCAGAAGATGGTTCTCCACCATGTTAACCATGGAGCTGCACAAGCTTTATTTTATTTTATTGTTTATTGGGTTGGGACAGTACATGTTAATGAACACATCACTTGTTGTAGCCATGGGCTAATTTCCATCCGTTGTCCCACAGTCGCGCTCACAAACACACACTCATTCACCCTCAACTATTGCACATGTTTTTAGTGGTAGGGGAAACCGGAGTACTCGGAGGAAACCTACGCAGACACGGGGAGAACATGCAAACTCCACTCAGAACGGCCCTGTTACGACCAGGATTCGAACCCAGAACCTTCTTGATGAGAGGCGAGAGTACTATCCACTAAACTTGGTGTTCTACATACAGATGTTTAATGAAAAAAATGGAGATGACTCTGCACAGCTAAACATACAGATGTTTATACAATAGTTCAGAGTTTAGCTAGTCTGCACTTGTATTAAAGATAATTAATATTTAATGCCAAACGTGCTTGTAGAACATTTCAAGCAAAGCAACAACATCAACAAAAAGTGCCTTTCCAACAGTAGAAAGATCATTTGATGCAATATTTGATTTTGCAAAATGATCCTTTTTTTTTTCATGTTACACAACGGATAATAAACAGCCCCAGGCATGATGGTCATCAAACAGCCTGCTAGTGTGAGGGAATGGGACCGTGGTACCAATGAGCACAGACACAGCCTTTCTCCTTTAGTGTCACGCTCCTGTCTCGAACTCTGCATGATGGATCTTTTTACACAATGGCGTAATGGACATCAACATGGACACACATGATGTATATTATGTATTTGTTGAAGAAAGTATATTCTTTCTTTGTTTGTTTTTTGTTTAGGTGCGTGCGCAGCGGGACACAGCAGAGGCTCAGAGGTGCCTGGCTGCCATCGAGGAGTGTGCTCAGAGCCGACAAGGAAACCTGCTGGAGCTGGCAGTGGAGGCTTCTCGAGCCAGGTCCGTACATTTCATCTAATTGTCTACTGTAGCCAGGGAACAGGAGGTAACAGCACTGTGCACACCATGTGTGTCCATTGTCCCTTTTCCATCCAGGGGTTGTAAATACGGCACATACTAGCTATTGAAAAAATGACACACACACAACATAAAAACATACACAACATAAAAAGTGCATGGGAGTTGTGTCATTCTCAACAGCCATTTATATTCTACATTTTGTTTTACCATCCATATTGACATTTGACTCTTTCTTTTCTAGTACGCCACGGCATTTTAATTAACTCCTGAGGGCTGAGTAAATGTACTTATGTTCAGGACATTTCAATATCCTCGCCTTTGATACTAAACTAATATACTTGAAACGTAATAGAGTTGAGTCTAATAAGGTAAATGATGTCATAGACTACACTAACCCTGAACTACTACTCCAATTAACAAAATATATTTGGATAAAACACATCCGCAACATTGTCATTTTGTACGCACGTCCTCGACAGCTTTCTATGGATAGAGCTTGAAGAGTATTTTCAAAGTGAGTCAGTGTACTCTCAGTGACAGGGAGCGTTATCGTTGCTCTGAATGAACGGTATTTTCACATTTAAAATGTTTTACTTCTATAATGCAGCCCTAAATTAGTTACAGTTAAGATACCCATAAATCAACCTATTATAATGTATTAGTCGACAAAAATAAAGTATGCATTCACAATAGTTGTATGCATCTGAATAGCCTGAGTCCTGAATCTAGTCCTCACTTTTTCCCCACTGGGTTTTTCAGTCGTTCCTTGCTAATACAGGAAAGTCTAAGGACTGTGATGATCCAGGATATTTAAGAATGTGTATTAACATTTATGGACATTGGTCATCGCGCTCCTTATGGACCACTGACTTGTTAAGGCCCTCGAGACAACAACTGTTGTGATTTAGGGCTATATAAAGATACATTTAATTTAATTTCCATCCATCCATCCATTTTATTCCCCCTAATCCATTACTGGGTCGGGGGGGTGGCAGTCAGAGCTGCACCCAGTACACAGAGCACCAGCCCCTCACTGATCCTCCTGCAGGTGGTGCGTCCACAGGAGCTGAGATCTTTCAGTGGGGGCTTCAGGCAAAGTGGGGTTAAGTGTCTTGCCCAAGGACACAACGACCGCAGACATCAGTGGGAGTCGTGAAGTAGGTCTTGTGGTGGGCTCGAACCCTCAACCTTCAGGCTCAAAGGCCAATGCTCTACCAACTGAGCCACTGTCGCCCCTTTAATTTAATTTAATTTAATTCAATAATAGCATTTGAAATAGGCAAGGCAAGTTTATTTGTATAGCACTATTCATACACAAGGCAACTCAAAGTGCTGGACATGGCAAGATAGAAACAATCACACAAGGCATTGAAATTATAGATAATCTCATTGGTTTGTGGTACACATACATGCTAGGGTTTCAAGCATTGATAATCAATGCACCCAACCACTCTGACCCCATGTGGAAAGGACCTTTTTTTTTTAGATTAAGCATTCCAGATCTATTGACAATTGATTTTCCATTACAATCTGTGGAAAATCAACCACAGACGGATCTTGATGATAATGACAGGCCTGGACATGAGACCATCTTTAGACCAGTCCACAGACTGAGAAACTGAGTGTCCCTTGTATTGCTACACTGTAATACTAAGGCACGGTGTCGGTTCTTGGAGAAGTGAGGGTTGGCTGATGACCCACCGGGTTCAGTAAGGCCTCATTTTCCCTGGGCTGATGTCTGTGATCCAGTCAGTTGATTAATCTAATCAATTATATAAGTGTGGGTTTCAACATTGTAAGAAAGTCTGTTTATCAGTGTAAGGAAGCGTGAAGAGAAGCCTTGAGTCGCACATATCATTGTTGACTTCATTTAATATCAAGAGTGGTCTGGTCTATTTAATGTCCAGTCATTTCCTCATTTGGGGCAGACTGTTTCAGGTCGCTGTTGGGTGATAGAAGTGACAGGGTTCCATTTTTCATTGTGTATGTGCACAGTTACTAATGAATAAACTAAAAATTTGAATGTATTGCAGCTCTTGGTTGTGTACATGGTTTATGGTCTCGGCCTGTGCAGAAACTCCACACCAGTACATTAAAAAGAAAGATAAAAATAAGAGCCCTCAGTTGTATGCACAGCTAAACAGAACTGTTTTTAACGTAGATTAAAAAATTGTCAGAGAAGAGGCCTCTCTCACATATTCAGAAAGTTTTTTCCAGATTTTAGCTGCATGAATCTGAAATGAAGCCTCCCCAAGTTTAATTTTGACTCTGGGCACTAGCAGGAGTCCAGTCCCTGTGCTCCTTAGAGTCCCAGTTGGTAGAGCTACTTGGAAAGAGGAGGTAAGCTACTAGTGGCTCCAGAGCTATAGGTTGGAGACTCCTGCCTTTGGGGAAAACACAGCTGACAATATAGGATCACCCAAACATGCAAGAAAACTGTACATTAAAATTATACTTTGTTTCGTCTTCATTCTTGAAAATATATGTGAATGTATTGTTTTGCAGATGCTCCGTGGGTGAAATCACAGATGCCATGAAGAAAGTTTTTGGGGAGCATAAAGCCAGCACTCGGATGGTGAGTGGAGCCTATCGTAGTGAGTATGGGGAGAATGAGGAGATCACCTTAGCAAACAACAGGTAAAAATAAAAATAATTGAAGTCTTTTCTCTCATAATCATATTGAGGATTTATTTTTTGGCTGTGTTTGTCGTTGTAGAGTTGCAGAATTTAATAAACTTGAAGGTCGTAACCCAAGATTGCTGGTGGCTAAAATGGGGCAGGATGGGCACGACAGAGGGGCCAAAGTCATAGCTACTGGATTTGCAGATCTGGGCTTTGATGTGGATATTGGACCGTTGTTTCAGGTGAGAAAATCCAAGATATCCTTCCATCCATTTTCTTCCCCTTTGTAGATTTCTGGACAAAGGTAATTGTCCAGTGCATTTTGTGATCCAAATGAACACCCAGGTACTCTCTCTCAATGTCTACCACCATCTACTTGGTCTTGTGTTGATGGATGATTTGACTTTAATAAGTTATCATAAAATTATACTATATTTTATCGTTTATTAGTGGCTAGTGTAGTGGCTCAGTTGGTAGAGCATTGGCCTTTGGACCTGAAGGTTGTGGGTTTCGAGCCCACCACAAGACCTACTTCATGACTCCCACTGATGTCTGCTTTTGTTGTGTCCTTGGGCAAGACACTTAACCCCACTTTGCCTGAAGCCCCTCCTGAAAGATCAAGGCTCTGCTCTCACTGACAGAGCAGCCGTCCTCCTGTGGACTCACCACCTGCAGGAGGATCAGTGAGGGGCTGATGCTCTGTGTACTGGGTGCAGCTCTGACTGCAGCTCTGACTGCCACCCCCTGACCCAGAAATGGAATAAGGAGAAGAAAATGGATGGATGGATATACCGTATATTTGAACTGTAACTTTGTTGATGTGACGACCAAAATAAATAAAATCAATCAATCAATCCATACATTGTAGCGATTGTGATGTGAATGTTGCAGACCCCGATGGAGGTGGCCCAGCAGGCGGTGGATGCGGACGTGCACTGTGTGGGAGTGAGCACGCTGGCGGCCGGACACAGAACGCTGGTCCCTGAACTCATTAAAGAACTGCGTAAACTCAACCGGCCCGACATCCTGGTCATCTGCGGAGGAGTCATTCCACCAAAGGTATCCACTCAAGTGTACAACACAGACTGTACATGTTACGTGTTCATTAAATTCTTCTGTTCAAAGAAGAAATACCACACATTATTGTTGACCATACTACATGTACATTGTCGTTTAATGCGTGAAAATGTGAAATAGCAAGTCTGTGCATTTTAAGCCAAATTCTTGATATTGTGTTGGCGGCTCTGACAACAACTGTTTTTCTATAAGCTATATGTTTATTGTATCCTTGGTGCCTTTTAGCAAAAACATAGGACTGATACAATAGTGAAATAATACATGCACAGAAGTCAACTATCAACTCACCATCTGCTGGAATGACTGCAGGGTTAATATGATTGCACAATTTGAAACCATTACCTTGCGTCTGCTCGACAAAACATAAACGTTGTCATTTCAACACTTGTACACAACACTGCCTTTTGCCTCAGATAGATTATGTTTCAGTGAACTCCTCTGTTCTTGTTGTGCTTCATTTCTCATGTTTTGAGAAAAAAATTGCATTGTGTGCTTGAGTAATTACTTACTGTATTTCCTCTTATCCTTCTCTCACAGACTCGGCAAGTGCTATTGATCAAGGCCGCACATATGTTGCATGTAATTGGTTACCGCTTCTTTAGAAATGCCCCATAATTTATTCATTATAAGGAACATAATCTTGCGTGGGAAAGACGGCCTTATTTACATTTAATTTAGTCTTGTATTATTCTCGATGTTTGTCTCTTTGCTTTTGTATTGTGGAAGATTGAGAAAAAATGGTGCAAGATGCTATTAATGAAATTCCATTTGTGGATATTGGCAAACCGCAACTCAAAATGTGTAACTTCTTTACAAATGTATTTTCTTGTTGCATGGCCTATGGTTGGATTAAATAAAAATAGAACTCTTCGGAAAAATCTCAACTCTTGTTTTGGGAAGAAAGAATGCAGAGTTACATCCATAGAGCGCCATACCTACTGTTAAGCATGGGGGTGGAAACATCATACTTTGGGGCTGTTTTTCTGCAAATGGCTGAGGACAATGTTAAGGAAAGAATGAATGGGACCATGTATTGTGAAAACGTACTTCCATCAGCAAGGGCATTGATGATGAAATGCAGTTGGGTCTTTCGGAATGACAATGATCCCAAACATTGGTTGCCTAGGAAACAAAGAAGGGGCTTTGTAAGAAGCATTTCAAGGTCCTGCAGAGGTCATGTCAGTCTCCAGATCTCAACCCCCTGGAACAATTTTGGAGGGAGTTGAAATACTGTGTGTCCCAGTGACAGCCCCAGACACATCATTGCTTTAGATGAGATCTGCATGGAGGAATGGTCCAAAATTCCAGCAATAGTGTAAGAAAACCTTGTGAAGACAAATTACAGGCATCTCATCTTTTTACTGGGAAGACTAGCACAATTGGTGACTTATTTAATATTTTTTTGCACAATATAGATCTATGCCAAGCTTTTTCTTCTTCTTCTTTGGGTTTACGGCAGTTGGCAGCCAACTAGTGGAGCATTACCGCCACCTTCTTTTACTGAGTGGGTCAGACTAAACTTTTGTCCCCAGCCTCTCGAGTCCTACAAGGCTGCTCTCGGTGCAGACGTGCGCTTGGAGGGTTTTCAAATGGATCTCGTGAAGCAGAAGGATCATGGAACTCTGAGACTAACGCAGCTCTAAAGGCCCAACCCAGTCTTCCTCTTTTCCCTGGCCTGTCCATGCAGTTAAAATGCCCTCTCTTCCACTAACCAGACCTATCCCGTGGATGTGAGTAATCTTGTTGTTTTTCTAAATTTTTCGCACTAAATTTAGGAACACAAAAAATAAGCCCATATGACCTGTTTGTCTTGGTGTAAGGAACCTCAGTGTTACTCTGTAGCTGAGAATTGTATACAGCAATGGTTACATCTCTAACAAGGCCGCTGTGTTGGCCTTTGCTTGTTCTGTCGCACCTGTATGCGTGCGTGTGCCTCTCGGGCCAGAACAATGTCCAAACCATGTCTGTATGACACAAGCAAACTGAGAAGCATGGGACAGACAATGAGCTAACAATCTAAAACCCAAACCAGTCTATGGTTCCAACAAGGGAGGGTTTTTTTTTTTTTTTTTTGGTGTAGTTGATAGATGATTATGGCCTGCTGTCCATTTTCAAAGTAATCTAGTTTTCTGAGATTTTTTATTTGGGGTTTTTAGAATCTCACAGCATTCTAATTTTTCAAGTTTCACCTGTGCTATATACCTGTACTCCAGTCATTACTCAAAGCTCATGTCTATTGTCACCATCAAATATATCTTCATAATCATTTGGTGGTAAAGCACGGACCTGGATCTGGGGACATTTGTGCTGTAATGAGGAGCACGCTTAGTAAACAAGAGTGTAGTCCCCTTTAATACTGTTGTTTTATTTCTGTCTGTAGGACTACGAGTTCTTGTATGAAACCGGAGTGAGCGCCATCTTCGGCCCCGGCACGAGGATCCCACAAGCGGCTGTGGAGGTGGTGGACAACATCGAGAAAAGCCTGGAGAAAATCAGACAAGCCATGTGATCTCTGGAGGACTTCACACTGTGGGATTGAGGCCTTTAATCAGTCTCTGGGAAACTGATTAGAAGCCTTTGCTGTGCTGAAATGGACTGAGAAAAAACAAACACACATCATTTTAACAGGATTTCCTTTAATGTTTCTATTTCTTAATGACTTTGTTAGAGCTCAAGCTAAATGTCTGTCAATCAGCAACATGTTATTGTTTCCCGGCTTTTCTCTCAAAAACTGTTTTTTGTTTTTTACAGCTCATTTGAGATCAAAATATTGTGCCTAGCCTGTATATTTCCCCTTTGAGAGACTGCTTGGAGACTGTGGAGAGGCCTTTTGAGATCAGCTGTATGTGGTCTTTGATGATAATGTCAGTAGTGTTTCAGAATAAACTGGTGTCTCACAATGTGGTGAGTGTTGCTTCAACACAGGCCTAACCATAATCCAAAGGATAGTGAAGCAGATCGTTGCGGGTTTTAGTGGTCGCCCAGAGGCTGTTCTCTCTGGAGGCGTTTACTGTACTGGGCTTCGATTGCGCTGATTCTGGCCCTGTTAGCTCTTAGTTCTGATGAGCGTCAGAACTGAGATGTGTCATGGGGCTTCACAGCAGTACTTCCAATTAGTGCATTGATCACACTCTTCTTCTTCTTGTGTAATCATTGTCAAAGTGATATTTCAGACAAGTTCTCAGTAACATCTAAAAGGCTTCCTGGGTAAAAAGTTAACATTGATAATGTAAAAAGTCTCAGTATTATTATCTTGTCAGTACTTTTGTTTTAAAAGGCAAACATTTTCTATGTGTATGTTTTCATTGTGGTCCAATGACATCACGGTGGCTGAGGCACGGTGGTTAAGTGGATAACACTCTCGCTTCTCAGCAAGAAGGTCCTGCGTTCAAATCCCGGTTGGAACAGGGCCTTTCTGAGTGGAGTTTGCATGTTATCCCCGTGTCTCTGTAGGTTTCCTCTGGGTACTCCGGTTTCCCCTACTACCATAAACATGTACAATAGGTCTGCTTCTCCTGTACTGGCGATCCCGCTCCCATCTGTGTGGAGTGAAAGGATAAATGCGCACAATTGTAAACCGCCTTGTGACTCTGGTCTGTGAAAAGCGGTATACAAATAAAGATGACTTACTTACTTACTTATCAAACGTTTACTGGAAACATGAGCTTTTAGACAAAAGGGGTGGGGTCACATGTTCTCCTGATAAGTTCTGGATAGTAGTGTGGATGGATCTAAAAACAATTCCAGGTCAGTAGATGATGATGGAGACAATGTTGTAACATGGTAAAAGCTCAGAAGAGTCTCTTAAAACAATCTTGTTGGGTCCCCTCCAACAAAGATAAACGATAATAAATGAGTTCAATAGCATTTATTGTCAAAACAAGACCAGGTCGCTGTGCGCCCACAGAACCGATAATGTTTTCAGCTGGACATTCACAGAAGTGACATGACATAAATGGAATTTCACAAACAACAATTTCAACATTTTCTGTTCGAAAATATATACACAATTCTGTTTTGTTCTGTGTTCATAACACGCTGTCAGGATTGACCAACCTTTTTATAATAAATATAGCTGTGAAAACAAAAACTCTCCTTTAAATAATATATTAATTTGCTCATCCTCAATGAATGAAGTATCGCTCTATAAACACATGCATCATTAACGTTAGAAGTCTCGTCAAAAACCTCTGGTAAACTTTGAAGTATCAAGTTTCCTGATGTGAGCTGCTCGGGACTCTCCTCGTGGTCACTTTCACCAGGCCTGTGTCATTCCCACAGTGCGGACTACTCTGCTCCAAATGCTTTGGTTTCTGTGTGAGTTTTCCACCACATTCACACTATAGTAAACATCAGCTTTTAAAGACTATAAATAAAACAGCAACATAAACAATGCAATCATAATAACAAACAATAGGAGGAAAAGAGCAGACATAAAACTCTCATGGACCTTTACATAAAATACAGCTCAGAATGGAGGCATAGCAGCTGCAGCGTGTCCATGGAATGCTTGTGACAGGCCAAACTAGCCTCTTTGAAAGCATCACCTCCGTGGTATAGACAGCAATGAGCCACAGATGTCATAGATCGTCACTATAGCAGACAGAAATTCAGCATGTTTTGTCTTTGTTTCTGCTGTAAATATTATATATATATATTATTATATTATATTTTATATATATAATTATATGTATAATATAATTATCTTTAGATAAATACTGAGATTTGAAATGTAACAAACAGTAAAACTTGTCTTATTTAAGCTGCTTCTTCTTCACAGTGCTTATTTATACGTGACACATGGTTTGTACATTCATGATGTGTTGGCCAGTCTGGTCTCTGTTGGTTCCTGAAACGTGGGCTGGGACTTGCCGTTGTTCTCCAGAACATAGATAGTATTGTCCTCCATGGAGTGCGTCATGTGGCACACTTTCTGCAAAGGCCAAGAGCAGCGCAGTTGGTGGACCTCGGCTTTGAAGCTGCGGCTGAATATGTAGTAGATGAGAGGGTTGTACACGGTGGAGGACTTGGCGAACATGCAGGGCAGCAGGCTGACCTCCGGGGGCATGTTATCGATGCCCCTGAAGATGGACCACAGGCTGACCATGCCGTAGGGGGTCCAGCAGCCGATAAAGCCCACGCTGATCAGGATCGCGATCTGCAACAGGGGACAGGGACGTTCCAATCAGCAGGACACACACACACACACAGCAGCAGTCTGCCCTTCATCATCACAGGAGGTGGACATGGAATATTTGGTGACCCTTTATGAGACATGACATGATTTCATGCCTCCGCTTATTCATCTTGAGTTCTTCATGATGATGTCATTCATAAGTTAGCCATTACGTCATGATGGATTCACTGACCTCCTAACAATTCAGAAGTCAACTCATCCTGACTGAATTCTCAAGATTACTTTGGAGGTAAGGACCCACCATGAACTATCATGACTCATTATTCATTTCTCTAAAACAGGGGTGAGCAGGAGCACACCAGACTCCACCCATTTTCTCAGGTAAGACAAGATTTAACATGAAGATTTGAAGAAATGGGTGGAATCAGCTGTGCTCCTGCTCAGAATGGAACTAAGACCTGCAGCCTCACCGGTTGTTTCTGGAACCAGTTTGACACCCCTGCAATATATAGATTACCTCTTAAAGATGGTGGTTGTCTGTTGGTCTTTTCATCTTTTTGGATAAAAATAAACGTTTTGAGATCAAATCAAAGGCCTTTTGCATTTCAAATTCACACACACATACTCCACTATCAGCACACTGTAACAGCCTCAAACGTGCGTGCATACTTACGATTAGAAGCCTGCGATGTAGCCTGATCACATTGGGCATGCGGTTGCAGCTGATGCCAGATTTCTTGTAGGTGATGTAGAGCTTGATGGATATCCCAAAGTAGCAGCACACGATGATGATGGAGGGCAGCAGGAGGTTGAAGACAAACATAGAGATCACAAAAGAGAAGCCCTCCTCCCTCATGGCGCCCCAGGCCAGAGAACACGACAGGCCAAAGGGCTCGGGACCATAGCGACCCCAGCCCAGGATGGGTAAGAGGGCCCAGAGCAGGGCATAGATCCAGATCCACACACACAGCAGCTTCACGGTCCTCCAGCTGATGGTCTCCTCTGCACACAACAAACACAAATGCTATTTTTTCCAATTTCAGCATGGTATTTATTGAAAGACGAAAGCACACCTGAACATATGCATACATTTACAAATATTTCAAAAGGGCCAGAATTCCTTTGGTACAGTAGATTAACAATCTCATTAGATTGGATTAAACATAGCCATATTCACATTCATTAAGATGATGACATAACCCAAATTCCTTTGACAATACCCTCCCAGCAGAATGTTATTTGTGATGCATTTTGGAAATCCTTAAGGCACTGTAAGGTTTTTCCCCTTATCTCATCATTGGTGATTGTGTGGAGACGTTAAACATGACAACATATGCAAAAGTTCTAGTTCTTTTGCAAACCACAATATCAAATAGAGAGCTAAATTTTAAACAAAACAAAACATGAACCACTTAGCTCGGACAATTGATACTCAAACATTTCAGAAAATATTGTAGGGGGTCAGAACTGTAGTAAAAATAATGTCAGTAATAGTTGAGTCGATTAAAAATTTGTCCGTCCGTTTTCCTCCACTTCATCCGTTGCCGGGTCGCGGGGGCAGCAGTCTAAGCAGAGACGCCCAGACTTCCCTATCCACACACACTTCCTCTAGCTCGTCCGGGGGGACCCCAAGGCGTTCCCAGGCCAGCTGAGAGACATAGTCCCTCCAGCGTGTCCTAGGTCTTCCCCGGGGCCTCCTCCCAGTGGGACGTGCCCGGAACACCTCCCCAGGGAGGCGTCCAGGAGGCATCCGGAACAGATGCCCGAGCCACCTCAACTGGTTCCTCTTGACGTGGAGTAGCTGCGGCTCTACTCCGAGCTCCTCCCGTGTGACCGAGCTCCTCACCCTATCTCTAAGGGAGCGCCCAGCCACTCTGCGGAGGAAGCTTATTTCGACCGCTTGTATCCGCGATCTCGTTCTTTCGGTCACTACCCAAAGCGCATGACCATAGGTGAGGGAGGGAACGAAGAGTGCCTTTCGGCTCAGCTCCCTCTTCACCACGACGGTCCGATACAGCGACCGCATCACTGCGCACGCTGCACCGATCCGCCTGTCAATCTCACGCTCCATCCTTCCCTCACTCGTGAACAAGACCCCGAGATACTTGAACTCCTCCACTTGAGGAAGGACCTCTCCACCCACCTGTAGAGGGCAAGACACCTTTTTCCGGTCGAGCACCATGGCCTCGGATTTGGAGGTGCTGATTCTCATCCCAGCCGCTTCACACTCGGCTGCAAACCGTCCCAGTGCATGTTGTAGGTCCTGGTTTGTTGGAGCCAACAGGACAACATCGTCCGCAAACAGCAGAGATGAAATCCTGTGGTCCCCAAACCGGACCCCCTCCGGCCCCTGGCTGCGCCTAGAAATTCTGTCCATGAATACAGTGAACAGAACCGGTGACAAAGGGCCGCCCTGGCGGAGGCCAACGTGCACAGGGAACAGGTCTGACTTACTGCCGGCAATGCGGACACAGCTCTGGCTCCGGTCATACAGGGACCGAACGGCCCTCAGCAGAGGACCCCGGACCCCGTACTCCCGGAGAACCCCCCAAAGGACACCCCGGGGAACACGGTTGAACGCCTTCTCCAAATCCACAAAGCAAATGTGGACAGGTTGGGCGAACTCGCATGAACCCTCGAGTATCCGATGGAGAGTATAGAGCTGGTCCAGTGTTCCGCGGCCGGGACGAAAACCACACTGCTCCTCCTGAATCCGAGATTCGACCATCGGACGTAGCCTCCTCTCCAGTACCTTGGAGTAGACCTTACCGGGAAGGCTGAGGAGTGTGATCCCACGATAATTGGAACACACCCTCCGGTCCCCCTTCTTGTAGAGAGGGACCACCACCCCGGTCTGCCACTCCATTGGTACCGCCCCCGATCGCCACGCGATGTTGCAGAGACGTGTCAGCCAAGACAGTCCTACAACATCCAGAGACTTTAGATAGTCAGGACGGATCTCATCCACTCCCGGCGCCTTGCCACCATGGAGGCTGCCAACCACCTTGGTGACCTCTGCCAGGGAGATGGAAGTATCCGCCCCAACATCCTCAGCCTCTGCCTCCGGGGCGGAGGACGTGACGGGGGGGTTGAGGAGAACCTCGAAGTATTCCTTCCACCGCCCAACAATATCCCCAGTCGAGGTCAGCAGCTCTCCACCCGCACCATAAACGGTGTTGGCAAAGCACTGCTTCCCCCTCCTGAGGCGCCGGATGGTTTGCCAGAATCTCTTTGAGGCCGACCGATAGTCATGCTCCATGGACTCTCCAAACTCCTCCCAGACCCGGGTTTTTGCCTCTTCAACAACCCGGGCCGCAGCACGCTTGGCCTGCCGGGACTGGACAGCTGCCTCAGGAGTCCCGCGAACCATCATGGCTCGATAGGACTCCTTCTTCAGCCTGACGGCATCCCTTACTGCCGGTGTCCACCACCGGGTTCGGGGGTTGCCGCCGGGACTAGCACCAGAGACCTTGCGACCACAGCTACGAGCCGCCGCATCGGCGATAGAGGAAGAGAACATGGTCCACTCAGACTCAATAGCCCCCTCCTCCGCCGGGACCTGGGAGAAGCTCTCCCGGAGGTGCGAGTTGAAAATCCGTCTGACAGGGGTCTCAGCGAGACGTTCCCAGCAGACCCTCACTATACGCTTGGGTCTGCCAGGTCTGACCGGCTTCTTCCTCTGCCAGCGGATCCAACTCACGACCAGGGGATGATTGGTTGACAGCCCCGCCCCTCTCTTTACCCGAGTGTCCGAGACACGCAGTCGAAGGTCAGATGATACAAGAACAAAGTCAATCATCGACCTCCGGCCTCGATTAAAAATTAACTATTTAAATTAAATGGTGTAATTAAAAGGCTTTTACTTTATAAAATGTATTTGGGAAATTACAGATTTTGGCAATGGACCCAGCACAGCATGACTTTTTTTTACTACTACTAATAACTTATCATGATATAACACTCTCATTCCATACACGGTGGTGGTAAACTATTTCAGTAGCCACAGCTAACAAGCCACTGCCTTGGGGTTAACTTTGTAAGTCTTCACTTGAGTCAAAAAATATTCCAAGCAAGATACATTTTACCTGATTCAAGCATGTTTTTTTGGATTTCTGTTTTATTTCTTTCTTTTTGAAAGTGATTGGCAATGACTTCCCTTGTTCTTGGTTTGCTAAGTGTGACCATTACATTGCAATTTTGATTCAGTTCAGATAAATCCGATAAGGTCCTCTTATCTGATGAACTCACAGTGTGAAAGGGAGTGTTTTGAGAGAAAGTTTCTGAATAAAAGTGAGCAGCAGACTCATTAAGAGGAGGCTTGTATGAAAACGTAGACACATACATCGTTCCACAGTCCGTCATATGTGTTTGAAGGCCTTTTGAATCGGGTGGTATCGTCACAGTCAGAAGAGGTTAAATCCACCTCCATGCGAGCAGTGTTTGCATGTTCTTCCCGTGTTCTAGTTTCAACTGCCAATAACATGACCCCACTTCCATCTTTGTGCGATGAGACAGAAAAAATACCCACAACAATTGAAAAGCAATTTGTGTTTGTGCGAGGAGCTAAATGAATAATGGGCGCTTACTTTCTTACTTGAAAAACATGATGTAGTATTGTTGATGCAAAGTGTTTACAACAAACAGGAATGATGAAAGCAAATTGTTCACGTTCTTGTGCTGCATTTGCGGGACAAAGTGGTGGCATCTGCATAGAAATCATCTTTGTCAACAGCATTTAAGTTAATCTGTCTATGGTTGAAACTATTGTATAAGAAAGTCGTATTGTGGAAACTGTCATACTTTGAGCACTTTCAGATTCCTTGAAATGTAAGGTATGTCATGTCTTTTTTTATTATTTCATTTTTTCCATTCCATATTCTTCTGCTTCATCCGTTGCCAGGTTGCAGGGGCAGAAGTCTGAGGAGTCTAAGCCACTATGGACTGTCATGTCATTTTCTTCTCCTTAATTAGTCTATTTCTGGGTCGGGGGTTAGGAGGGGAGCAATCCAGTCCCTCACTGCAGGCGGTGCACAGGAAGAGGGCTTCTCTGTCATCAAAGACACGGTCTTGGTCTTGTAACGGGAGCTTCAAGCAAAGTGGGGTTACGTCTTCCCGCCAATAGACATGTCTAAAACCCTAAGCATACAGCTGAAATGGTGACAAAGCTGCTGAAGGAAAAAGCCATTGTTATAGATTGGCTATCACAAAGCTCTGATTTTAACTTAACCTGAGCCCTGACCTACGACGGATCATAAGGGTCACATTTAGAACAAAAATCAAATCATAAATTGTCGGGAGAAATTAACCAAAAGTTCAATACAAATATTTTGAGAAGCTTGTGGAAGAAACATTTGACCCAAATCAACTATTTTAAAGACAATTCTGTTGAATACTGACCAAACCTATTTTTACGACAAAACATAAATTGACATTTATCTTTTGAGTGAACTCCTGATTATTTTTATGTACATGAATCAAAAAAATAAATAAATAACAGAACACAAAAACCCAGAGTAATCAAATTAAAGGTGGAGCTGTTGGGCCAACCAAAACAAACACAATGGGCCGACACCGAACCAACCCTACACAGTGCCGTCTGGATCCTATGTACCCTAACTAAGAAGAAAATAAACCCAAATAACAACACCCTCACCAGCGAAAATGTAACCACCGGACCCACCAGATCTAACAAAGATAAGGACAGGGAAAAATGCTAACGAACGGCTAAAGATAACCAACTCATGCGGTGTCTGAGGAGGCCGCAAACTCTCTTACTGTGGGACGAGTCTTACAAATACAATGTGCAAGATTGGATTTGATTATTTTATATTATTAAACACAAATAATAATAATAATAATAATAATAATATAACAATAATGTATAGAATTATTAAGCAATAAACTAAAAGAGCACCCACGTGCATAATTTGTTTGAATGTTCTCCCCGTGTCTGCGTAGGACATATTGGAAAATTGAGAGAACATTTTCTCTTTAAGTAGCTATTTACAGCACTGCTGTACTTTACTACTTTATCCAAATAAATAAAATACATCATCTCAAAGAACTCATGTAACAATACTCATTTGCTATGGCCTATTTCACAAGAAAACTTAATCTAATTTAGTATATTTTGTATTGAAGTATGAGTTAATAAGATTGTAGAATTAGACCTATCATGTGGCTACAATGTGCATGTTTATCTATTCTTTACCGTGGAGCAGCACAGCTTGACATCTGGAGAAAAATAGCACAAGCTCAAGACGTCAAGATTATTGATATGATGATGACAACGGAAGCAAGGATTTAATCTGTGGCTGCACACACCAGCCCGTGGCAATAAAGTGTCTTGCCTAAGGACAGAATGGCAGTTTGGCACTTTATAGTTGCCCCACTGGTACCTGGAGTGAACAAAGGTCCCCCAGCACAACGTTAACCCGGCCATGCCCTGCTTGACTTCAGAGCAAGGGCTATGGATTAAATGAGGCACTATGGATGCATCTGCTGGTTTAGGGGCATCATGAGCATTTAAATATATAAGGAATCTTTAGTTCAGAATTTGAAGGAATATAATAATTTTATTTTTATTTTTTATTATTTCTTCCTTTTGGTTTTCATCACATACATTACATTATACAGTACTGAACACATTTTAAAGTACTCCCTGCTACACAAACATGTATTGACAGCATTGATTTTTTTTTATGGTTTCTTAAGGACATTTATTAAATTGTAATCTCGCAGCACTGAACATGAGATAACTAAATCAATATATTCTGTTAATTTGAAAAGTGTTAATTCAGTTTTTTCCAGTTCAGTGATAAAGTACATGTTTCTGTTTGATAAGGATTAATGTGCCGTCCAGTAGACAAAGCAAGTCTATTTAATTCGCACAATTCATAAACAAGGAAGCTTTACAAAAAAAGAAATTAAACATTCAAATCATATAAAAAAAACAGTTAGTGAAGGCGTGAGTCCACTAATCTGTATTCTCCGGCAGTTTCTGTGTAGTTACTGCATGTCAAGTGGCCTAACAGTAGCATGTATAAATTGAACAGAGGAGGTCCCAGAATCGACCCCTGTGGCACTCCAAAGGTCATAACCATACAATCTGAGACAGTTTCTAACCATCTTAATCATACCAGTTCTAAAGCTGGCTATTGGACTTCGACCTTTAACATTACAACAAGCTGAGTGCCTGCATTGTGCAATTATATCTGCAAAAAACTCTATTCCTCATGGTGAGACATTTTGTGAAAAAAGCAGTGTTCTATAACCGCTATATAACCTTTTAGAACTTTAGATAACCACCACTATAGCTTGGCTTGAGCTGTGGTCATTATAGTTCTTCATATTATCATGACATCATTCTGTAACCTTTTCTTACACAACTCACAACTTAAGTGTTGTACACTTTTGACATTTAGCCTTTTAACATTTTGTATCCAGCAGTGTGAACAGAAGTATGTGAGCATATATTGATAAGCTGTCATCACTCATCTTAAGCCGCAATTATTTTATCTGTGTTCCAGTTACTTAGAAGAAATCTTGGACATTTGACATTCTCTGGCGTTTGCTTAAATGACTTTTATACTTTATGGGCAGATTTTTGCTGTAACATCACGGTGCAGTGTAGTGACTTAGTGTAGTCTTTCTGCATTATTATTATTTTGTTTTATTTTAATTAGTATAGCTATTGTTCACTTATCTTGTGCTGTGTGCTCCTCATTCCTACGGTTCTATAACTTGTGATGCAACACTGAAATTTCCCCACTGTGAGACAAATAAAGGATTTCTCAATCTTAATCTTAATTATGAGGAGACATAAGGGCATCTGCAGTGCAAAGCTTGAAATCTTTTTGTTGGAAGCTGCTTTTGTCCACACTCTCTCCGCCAGCCTTTCCTGGTTTAATTGATTGATTACAGCAACAACACGAGCTGTCACAGGCGTTACTTCAAAGGACAATAGCCGCCACAGACTCAAGATGGTGTGAGTTCGGGACTGAAGCCAGACCACAGCAGAACCAACACTGCAGTGACCGCAAGTAAAGGCGGGATATTATGCGACTGTTTTTTTCAAATGTATCGAACAACAAAATGAATTAATATATCTGTTGCATTTTGATAATCCATATATGTGCTTGTGTACTGCTTGTGCACTCAAATGTCAAATTTACATATATTTTGGGGAAGCCAAATCTAGAACATTCTTACTTAAACTTACACTTTTGCACTTTTAAAAATACACCGTCCTTTCATTTTCTTTAAGGTTCAGAGATTCTTTATTCATCCCACAGTGGAGAATTTTCAGCTACAGGTTTGCCACGCAATAAATGTGTTAAGCCTGGTTAAGGCATCGGGCGCCTTAACCCGGCGTTCGGTTCATCCCGCAGCGGCAGTTCTGCTTACCAAAAGTGGCCCACTAGGCAGATGTGTGACTACTGTTATTAGCGTTATTTGAGCGAATATCATTGAAACACAATGGAAAAATAGCACTTATTATGATGCCTTCACAGTATTATTTATTCATTTCACACGTTGTAGTGCTAATACTGTACTGCTACTGCGGCAGCACAAGGAGAGATAAAGGCATTTGCTGGCTGAAACACAGTGTATTCTGCCCTCATGCACATTTTAAAGTTGGCCTTAAAATGAGGACTTTCCCCTCGACGGTCCCCAGGTCCTCTCACGCCTTGCTACCTCCCCTCCACCTCCATGTAGTAGCAGTGACCAGGAGGGGCCCACGATGCATTCATGTCATCGGTGAGTAAAAGTATTTGCCTAAAGATAAGTCTTCCAGTACAAATTTCTGTGATTTGTTTTATAGGATATATTTCAACAAAGATTTCGTCAAAAAACATTAAATATTAGGCACCCTAGCTTTAATCTGGACCCAACCTTACTTGGAGATTGCATGTTGTGGGAGACGATGAAGCGTACAATGGCCAAGATGACCAGGTTCATGATAGAGGCCACTCCGAAGAAGAAGCCCGCCAGAGCGTAGTACACACAGGTCGCGTGTCCCCCGAGCCAGTGGTGACTCCAGGCCGAGGCCATGGCCAGCGGGTACATGGTGACCGCTGCGCCCAAGTCGGTCACCGCCAAGTTCACGCTCAGCAACTCTGGAGGCTTCATCTTAGCCGACCGCTTGTACGCCATCACCAGGACCAGCAGATTTCCAACAATGGAGAGAACAGCTGGAAGACATACAGGGAAAATGACAAGATTGTTAAATACAAGTGAAATATTGTAAGTAAGTAAGTAAGTAATCTTTTATTTATATACCGCCTTTTCACTACAGATCTGAGTCTCAAAGCGGTTTACAATTGTTAATTTTGGGCATTTATCTCTCACTCCACACAGAGATGGGGGCGGGGTCGCCGGTACAGGAGGCGCATGCTAGACATATTTTTAGTGGTAGGGGAAACCGGAGTACCCGGAGGAAACCTACGCAGACACGGGGAGAACATGCAAACTCCACTCAGAAATGCCCTGGTCCGACCGGGAATCGAACCCAGGACCTTCTTGCTGAGAGGTGAGAGTGCTATCCACTCAGCCACCGTGCCGCCCGGCAAATATTGGGCACTAGGGCCCAAGTTAATCGATCAATCACAGTTAATTAATAAAAACAATTACATCTAGTCTTTGTTGGTCTCTATCAAAATGTTTTCGAGTCAGAATCAGAATTATTATTTATTGCCATGGTGAGTAATCACAAACTAAGCGTTTTTGATGAGGGAACTGATGAAAATGCCTAAGAAACAAAAGTACTCCACAGAGGTGATGGGGGAGTCTATCAGGGAGGACTGTGCTCTTCCTGAAGTCCACAATCATCTCCACTGTCTTCTGGGCGTTCAGCTTCAGGTTGTTACCACTGCTCCTCCTGTAGGCGGACTCATCGTTGTTGGAGATGAGTCCAATGAGGGTGGCACCTGTGTTCCCAGAGGTCTCCCATCACAGTACTAACCAGACATCTGAGGTCTCACCCGGAATACATGTACTTGTATATGTGAATATATATGTAATATATGTGAAAATTAGAGAAAGAACCAAACTGTTTTGGGAGCAAGGAACTAGTTAGACAGTCAGTCCTGCACCGGACCTGTTCACATTCTGCGGCCGATGTGTGGCCCTGGTCCACGTTCTGTAGCTTTGGTCCTGGATCTATAGCCCGTCCGTCCTTGTGGAGCGGATCCCTCGCTCAATGTGGGTCTCCCCGAGGTTTCTCACTTTTTTCCCACTGGGTTTTTTGTGTGATTTTTTCCCTGCCGATGTAGGAGGGTCTGTTGGACAGTGTCGAACAAAAAGGACTGTGGTGATGATCCAGGACACTACAACATGTATTTTATATTCTTTTTTGTTTTTTAACTGTTGATTCTCTGATCTGTGTTGGTGATTTCAATGGTTTTGTTTTGTCCTCTGAGATGACTACTGTTGTGATTTAGGGCTATACAAGAATAAATTGTATCGTAATTGTATAAATATGATATACAGCATGTTGGAAAAAGTAGAGATGTTAATCATACCAATAAAATAAAGTACATACAGTATTTTTTTTAATTAGCTTTAGTGAAGACTGACGCCTTTAGAAAAGATTGATGGCTTTAGAAATGCTGGATGCCTTGTGTACAACAAAAGATAGCTTACAGCTATGTAAGCGGCTTGATTCTAGCTTTTACTCCAACACAATTCTGTGGTAACTGCCAGGATTAAAATCACATGGTGTTCAGTTGTTTTGCACCAATGCAGAAATATGAAAGCCCTATCCTCATTGAACTCTATAGAATTACTATTCCTCCACAGAGGGAGAATGCAGCTACAGATCAGAGCATTGACAGCTTATCTTTTCATTTATGATGACAACAACAAAATAAACTTCGTATATATGCCATAAATTCACATCTGTAGTAATTGGTTTCCTCTAGATGCAGCAGTGGGAGCAGGTCCTGAGCACTGCGCTGACATACTGCAATCCCACTCCTCGCCGGTGGGGGTGGACCTAGAAAGAGAATTATCCAATGCTTTTGTATGGCGCCTTCTTTCCTCCTGAAAATGGCTTTACAGGATGCTTCAAAAGTCGTCGGCCAAAAGAATCAAAAGTTAAAACACAAAAAAGACTATAGAATACATGTTGCAGTGTCCTGGATCATCACAACAGTCCTTTTTGTTTGACACTAGATGTGTGTCAATGCAAAGGGGAGAATTTTTTTTTGACCGGTCTAGTTTAGCCACTATGGACAAATAAATGGGGCTGGTGTCGGCTAACGCATGCGCAGATGCGTTTTTTCAACAATTTCTTGAGGGAGGGGCCACTCGCGGCCATTTTTAAACTGCCCACAAAAGGCGAAAGTGTTGGCACATTACTTTAAGCAACAGAGATAAGCGTGACTACGTCCGTTAATATTTACAGTCTATGATATGCATGTAGATATGTGCATACGTCTGGGCAGTGCATTTATTATTCAAACATTAACCCAGAGGATTAGGGCACAACCACATTTTTTTCTTTTTATAGATTGACATGTTATAGCCAACATGAATCTATTTAACAAATAAAAATAGTGCCAAACTGTAATTGTGTCCTTAGGCAAGACAGTTCACCCACATGGTTGGTGGTCAGAAGGGCCAATGGCACATACTAATTCTCTCGCTTAAGAATTATGACTTGTGAAGCGTCTTTGAGCGTCCTGAAAAGTGCTATATAAAACCAATGCATTATTATTATAATTATTATTGATATATCACAAAAGTAAACTCCCCTAGATCAGTAACCGTTTGTGTCACACTCATGATTTTAGGCTTTAATAATCTGTGGTTCAGTACGCTTTATCATCATTTGTGTTTTGATATTGTCTTTGTAAATCCGGATATGAGCCATGTAGAAACTGAACAACACCTCTGCCCTTGTTACAGCCCGTAAAAGAAAATTGTCTCCAGCTAGCTTATGTTAAAATCATTGTCTTCCACATTAAAAGACATCAGCAGCCAGCCAGTCCAACATCGTAAACATATGCGTTGACAAGCAATTTGTCCAGTGCGGATGTGCGGTGGTTTGCTAATACAGCAGGTGTGGTGATCATTACAGGGAAATACAAACAATACATTATGAGCAGCATCAGAGCAGAGATGTGTTTGGTCAGTGGAATTTATTTTAAGAGAAAAAATGTTAACTTCTTGGCTCTTTACTTCACATCAACTGCATGCCTATTTCATTCATTTGCTAGAAAGCAAACAGAACGTTTTCATATATTTACAGTTAAAGGAATAGGCCACCGTTTTTACATACGACATATGTAAAAATGCACTCGTAATAATACGAGTGCTCCTCGTATTATTACGCCTCACAATATAGTACCCCTTTTTATCCGCTGAGAAAATCGACATGTTACATAAATAGGGAAAAAGTGGAAGAGTTTGGTAGCTTCGAACGGGAGCTGATTTGGAACTATACAGTATGTGGAAGAGGCTGCGTTTGTGCTCCGTTTGCATGACAGAGCGCACGGACAAAGACCAGACAGGTACATATCAACTAGTCTAAGGTAAGAACATATGTCAGTATGTAAAAACGGTGGCCTATTCCTTTAAATGTATTGAAAAATATATTTAACTGTGAATGTATGAGCAATGGTTTCCAAAGAATAGAGTCAGAATTGAGTATAACAAAACTCTAGTGCGTCTACATTGCACAGAGGCTAATTTGTCCGTGACTGCTCATAACCCTCACCTCCTGTTGAGAGAGGAAACGGAAAAGAAACGCTCAGAGAAAAGGGACGAATGCAAAGTGGCTCCTCTAAAAAACAGGAGCAATTACGGTTCATTCAGAGAGAAGTGAAGTCCATGCAGTGAGTCCTTACATAAACAACATGCAAAATAATGATTTGATTTTTAAAAAGCAGTATTTTTACAACCAGGGTGAAGGAGGTATAACAAAAAACAAATGCAGCTTGAGCGGAAGTTCACCAGGCTGGTCCACACCTTCCTCAGCCTCACATCAGCTTCATCAACTCCCTGCCAGCTGCTAATCAAGCCAGCGCCGAAAAGCAGCACACCGCAGACCAAACAGCCTTTTCAATCTGTAACCACCTCCTCCTCACCTCCACCTCGGGATTTCTTCACACGCTCACATCCACCTTGCCCTATCGCCAACCCCAGTGTCTGGACCGCGGGAGAATATGATCTGCACTCAAGCATAGATCCTGACAGAGCAAGGCCACTGCTAACAGAACTCGCAATCGATAAATATTTTAAACGCATATCGTCTCTCCAGATTGAATTGGTAAAATAAGTAGTTTAAAGGTCCCATATTTTGCTCTTCTTCATTTTGAGCACAAGTGTGATAATAATTTTGGTGATACTCCATACAACACATACGACTAAATTAGAGCCATTTCTTGCATAAAGGTGATGCCATCGCAATTGAAAGCTCTGGCTGTGATCCCGCCTCCCCCCGCCCACAATATTATTGTGTTAATATGTTATTTCTGTTATATGTGTTATTCCCACAATAAAAAATATGCACACAAAGATTAAGGTTAATGTTAAGATTAAGAGATCCTTTATTCGTCCCACAGCAGGGACAAAGAGCCCCAATCTGTAAGTACAATGTGACTAACTTGTCTTATTCGCATTGCAGTCTGAACTAAACTAATAAAGTACTAATTAGGGCCAGATTCTAGAGGGGCTCTGTGCCCTATGTGATGGATTGAAATTGTTTGTAAAACAGTGTATTTTCAGATCTGAAATGATTATGTACTTGTGAAAGCTAAATAGTGGGTTTACAAAGTCAGCGTGAGGCAAAGTCACCGCGGTCGAGGAGGCGAGCTCTCAGAGAAAGAGCACAGGTTCAGGCATTTCAATAGAGGTGACATCAGCTCTATGCGAGAAATGGCTATAAGTCTTGACACGTTATCACAATGTGCTCAGGATAGACTGGGAAAAATTAAGAAAAGCGAAATTTAGGACCTTTAATGTTTGAATGTGCTAAAACAGTCGATTCGACCTCGCTATTTCAATGAACGAAGGACATGCTGCTACGTTTGTCAAACTTCTTTTTTTGCATTTCAAAATGTGTTATTCAATCAAATTTGACATTGACTTACAAAACAAGTATATTTGCATAAGATTCCAATTAACAACACCACAAGGTCAAGAATGCAACTTTTCTCTGCTCGTAAGTGGGTGGATTGGTACGCATAGA